GAAGGGTCTAGGCCCGAAACGTCAGCCTCTCTGCTCCTATGATGCTGCTTGGCCTGCTGTGTTCATCCAGCCCTGCACCTTGTTGTCTCGGATTCTCCAGCATCTGCAGTTCCTACTATCTCTGATCCAAAGCCTCACAAGCTGTTTATTTAATTGGATCCAAACAGACGCCTCAGTACCTCCGTCTTAAAACCTCTCTTCAGAAAAAGACTACAATAAAATACACCTCTTAAAGCCATAGTATCATCACAAATGAAGTAATAAAACATACTGTAAATTTGTGCTGCACAGCATCGTCCACTCAATGAATGCTGGAAAATTGCAGCCACACTTCCCCTATTTTAGTAACAAAAGCAAAATATTGCACAAATCTGAAATAGAAAAAAAGTTAATACGAGAAGTGTTTTTTATGTCCTTAAACTACTATAAATAATTCTTTTTCAATTGCAATTCTTTTGGTAATTTACAATGTCACTGTGACTCAATTTTTATTCTGTTATATGCAATTTAATTTAAAACAAGGACATTCAATAATAGTTTGTTAGTGAAGTTTAAAAATAACCCCAAAATTTTTCACTGACAGAAGCAAATCCAACAAGAGTAATTGAAAACTTAATCTGAATAATTGGTGCAGCTTGGTTTCGACATATTGCCATTTTTCTTTATCACTGTGCCAAAATCCTGTAACTGAATTGTATCAATGTAGCACCTTTTCCATCTGTACTGCAGCGGGTTCAATAAGTTGGCTGACCACAACCTTGTCAAGATCAACAAGGAATGTCAATAAATGGTCGCCTCACCAACAACACCCAGATCCGAAGGATCAATCTTGTGCTATACATTTCAACTCCTACCCTTGCACGCTGCTTCAACAATAATTTTCATAAAATTCCAGATCTCTGCAGTTGAACTGCTGCATTTGCTTTATGAAAATTTCAATGATGTACATAATACAGACACACTGCCAGAAAGATCGTTAAAGCAAATCCAGCTTACACTCTGTGCATTTACATTGAAGTTAACATAGATTTGGGATCAGAACATGGACTGCTGAGATTGTGTAGGTGGTAAGTATTGGGTACTTGAAAGCAGGAATGCAGAAGGTGCAGATTGATGTGTAGGATGATGGATAGTGTGAAAAGCAAAAGGCCTATGGTCTCATCATGATGCCAGATAACAAAATAAATTTGTACGAGGAGTTGAGGAGCGGTATAAAGCAGGAAAGAGTCATAATCCTCAATGTTTTCAATGACTTGAAATGTCACAGACTAACCCTCAGTGGACCGGACATGATGACCTGGAGACTATCTGCTCTGAATGGTTTAACAGATGCAGACTTCTTTTGCCTGCCGTTTGGTCTTGCATGAGAGACTAAAAAATGTCAGCAGCAGAGCAGTATTGTTTTTGGAATTAGGTACATGACATAACTGGAGATATGTAGGTGACAAGAATCAGGTGTGAAGATAGCAATATTGATAAGGATGTGAGGATGAGATGAAGCATCTGGATGTCGGGTGAGATTCCTGAGTGCCAGGGAATGTTCCGGGCAAGTGATGGGAGTTTGCTAAGTTGAACAGCATGACAGACTGGAATATAGGAATGAGGAGGAGGAGGAGGCAATTCAGCCCTTCAAATCTGCTCTACCATTTAACATGATCATGGCTGATCTTATCCTAGTCTCCACTCTAATTTCCTGCCTGCTTCCCATAGCCCTTTACCCTGCTTTTCATCAGATACATACCTATTACTTTCTTGAATCTGTTGATTGATCCTGCCTCTACTGCACTCTGGGGCAGTGAGTTCCACACAGATTCACAACACAGAGAAGTAGTTTCCCCTCATCTCAGTTTTGAACCTATCTCCTCATCACAGACTGCCTTTAAGAAGACGCTAGTTACACTGCATGATTCGAGAACAATGTTGCCTTCTTCCATGTTGAAAGCAGAGGCAGTGTGAGACCCACACAGCCAGAAACTACAGTCATGGAGAGAAGGTGTAATTACAGCAAACATTCAGCTCACAAGAAACTTATTTTGAAACATTAAGAGTTGGATATTTCACAATACAAGAAACACTCTGCCTGTGTACTTATCTAGTTGTGAGTTTGTGTCTTTCACCTTGATCTTTGGGGTGTAAATTGCAACCCAGACACTGAAAACCAAAGCAACCCAATTTCTAGCAGATAAATTCGTTTGTTTTTTTCAGAACAAAAAACACTGAGTATAAAAACATAGAGGTTAATACATATCATTAGAAAACACAATTGAAAACTCAGCTGATGAACTATACTCATGTCTGGCACCACAACTTCAGAAGTCTTGGGACAGCAAGCAAAGGAGATTTATCAGAATAGGGCAAGGATAAGGATCTTAATTCAAGCAGACAGTGATTAGATTACAGCTGTTTCCATTTGATGCAACAGTGCAAGGCATTTTAAGAGGTGTAAAATTATTATACTGGGGAGTGCAGCTTTAAATTTATAGTAAATGAAAATGTCCTAATCTGGAGTGAATTTGACAGTCGATGCTTCTACTGTTACAGATCAAAAGAATGCTTAGATTGGTTTACTGAGAAGAAGGTGCAAGCTATTTATACTTGAAAACAATGGCAGTCACTTCTGAGTTTACAATGTGCAGGTTTTGGCTCTCCATACATCACAGAAAGGTGTCGAAGACACCAAATTTAAAACAATCGTGCCATAACTATTTATTTGCTTCCAAATCGAAGCAAAGCAGTTTCTCAAGGAATTAATTATCATTGCTACCAAGTTAATATGTTTCATGTAGCCATACATAAGAAAGCAGAAGTAACCATTTGTGAGCTCAGGTTACAAGCTTCTGCACAAGCCAATGAATATCACAGGAACCCTACAGTTCTATGCAGTCAGAAGAGAGTATAGGCAGCCTGTCTTTGCAAGCTACCACAGCCTGATATTTGAGGGAGATGGACATGAGTTAAAGATACTGCACCACTGCAGAGACTCCAAGAGATTTACTCTAGCATGGCCAGGGCACGAATAATCCTCAGAAAAGGTCTTAATGTTGTTGACTGATTTAAGAAACTCAGCAGTAACTGTGCAAAGTCCCAGGAGCTGGTTCCTCAAAGTTACTATTAGGCAAAACGGAGATATGGAAATTCTTTGGAATGTGGGAGCAAGTGTCAGACTCTGCTGAAGGAACTGTAATTCCATAGAGAATGTGATGAATAATAAGCACAAAAGAGGAAGAGATAACACAGTGTGGAGCTGGAGGAACACAGCAGACCAGACAGCATCAGAGGAACAGGAAACTTGACTTTTCAGGGTGGGAACCTTCTGAACAAGCTCCACACTGTGTTATCTCCTAATCCAGCATCAGCAGTTCTTGCTATCTCCGAGTACAAAAGAGGAATATTCCTCTCAGGAGTTTAAGTTGTATGTTGCTTTTAAACATGTTTAGTCATTTGTTGCAATATACAAGCCTAAAATATGAAGCCTTGTGTCATTTTTTTAGCTATCAACTGGAATTCCAATCTCCTTTTACAAGTAGTAAGTCTGTATGGAGATTGTAACAAAGGCCAGATGTAATAGAAAGGTTAAAAATAATTGGAAGAGTTTTCATTGGGTTGATTGGGAGAAATGGTTCCACTGCCAGGGAAACTGTACAGGGTACATCAGGTAATTTACCACTAAAAAGGGCATGAGTATTTTTTTAGTCGGGGCTATGATTTGGGTAATTTTTGAGTAAGAGGTGGAAGACAATTTAACGGGAAGTTTCTAAATAAGACAATATATAATTACAAACGACAATGATTGCAGGGCTGTAGAGAAAGAATAGAGAACAAATTCATAGCATTCTCAGAGATTCATACACAATGAGTTGAATTGTTATATGGCTTGGATGTTAATGGAGTAGTACATGGACCCAGCAAGACCAGAGATCAAGAGGCACTGCTGACCTTAACAAAATAGCCTCAGGGAAATTAAATGCTGCAGAATCCTGTCCTCCAGTGGAGCAGATGGACATTCAGGGAACAGCACAAACTCATGGCAGGAGGGTAGTTTAACGCACATCTGATGGTGGAGTCTGGCAAGGAAATTTGACAATAAGGGTGGTGGCAGTGTATCAGATTTTTGTGATGTGCTTCTAAAAACACCAAAATGCTTATGCATCTCCTTTTACAAGATAAGTTTAAAACGTATTTTTCCATTTAAAGATTCAACTCCCTGAAGATTTTACTTTACAGGATATTGTCATAGCCACCTTCTCATTCAAGCCCCGGTTAATACAGCAGAACAGGTTCTGACAACATTATCACATCTAGGCTGTATATTTAGAACAGTTTGCTGCTACCTTCCTGCTGTTGTCCTGCTTGCCTGTTCAAAAAAGATTAATATGGAAGCACAACAGGAAGGAATTCTCATTAGTGAAAGTAGTGGCTTCTGTTCTTTTAAAGGCCCTATACTTGTCTAGTTAAAATGGAATCATAATAAATTCTATTTCACTCTTTGTGCCTCATTGTGTATTTACTACAAATATCAAAACAATTATAATGAAAAAATAGGATATAATTATAGTTACAGTCAATATTCAGGCGATAAGGAACTCGTTTTGAAGCGTGGAGGGCTGGATGTTGCACAACACAGACAATATTCTGCCCATGAAGTGATTTATTTGGACACAGATGAAACTGGCTAGAGACGGTCACAGTCCCATTCGCAGCAGGATGCCCAATACTTTGATTGGCACGTAGATTGAAAGGAGCTTCCCAAGTGATACCTGCAGCTGGCTTCGCATTTGCTGCTGTACAGGTGACAATGAGGCGTTTACTGCAGTCAATCAGAGAAAAAACTGGATACGTTTGGATTGTAACAGCCGGAGGAGCTAAATTGAGATAAAAAAGTGCAGTTTAGATCATTCAGATGTAATGAACCTTTTTGAGTGATTAACTGATATAACCCACTATCTAGTTTACAATTAAATTTCATCATAACGACACACAAGTTTTGCAGTGGATCCCTCAGTCTACTCTGTTTACTTGAATGAAAGATGGAAGAATTTTATTGCTTACTTTGAGGCTACCACACAAAGTAATGGTTCAAAGATAAAGACTGAAGACGACAATGGAAACCTCTGTTGTTAAACATAAATAAACTGTAAGACATCTCTGCTTACGGAGAGCCCTGTATAGCATGGACTAATGGGATCTTCAACTTCGGCTGCAGAAACTCAACATACAATTGTATGAGTATGTTTTAATAAATAGCATCCTTGGTACATGTCAAAACACCAGTTTACATTTTGACACTTTCGAGATCAGGTGGGGGTGTGGGGGAAATCAACTCCCCGGTTTTAATCCTTTTGGAAAGCTGCAAAAAGAATTTTAGTTCTTTTTAAGGAAAAAAAGGAAATTCAGGTAATGAATTGTTGTAAACAACCAACCAAATAAAGATTACATATGCCAACACTGTGTCAAAAATGACAGTGAATAACAGAATGTTAATTGCACAACAAGAAGCCATTCGGCTCATCACATCAATATTAAGAACAATTCTCATCCTTCATCGCTAATGATGAAATCTGAGGAAGTTCAGTTGTTAGCTGTGGAACCTGGACTAGAGATTACTGTTTGGTCTGATCAGTTTGTCCATGTGTAGGAGCATCTGATAGGTTAGTGGTATGATTTCTTGCCAGGGTGAACTGGCAAATCATTACACTCTTATCCCACTGGGGAGACTGAGGGCCCAAGCAAGCCACAATTTTCTCCAATGGAACTACCAAAGACAGGGGTCAAGCCAAGGCTGGGGAGAAAGCACCAAGATCAAGATTCATAGCCAAACAATGAAAGCATTGGGTGCATTGTGCTTATTCAGAGAATCCCACTCTAGGGAATAGGAGGCAGTAGTGGACCCCAATTACATCAAGTGGTGGGGTTTCATGATCTTGAGGGCAGCAATAGCACTACAACTTCCAGCGAGCCTTTGTCTGCTTAAATCTGAAGTTGTGGTACGAATGAATGGGCTCCAGGGGAGCCCACACTGAACCCATTGGAACTTTTCAGTTTTTCAGCACCTAACTAAAGCTTCAAATTGTTTATTTAGGGCTTTTCTTAGCAGGATAAAATGCTCGCAAGAGGGAATGGTAGCAGTGTGGGAGCCTACATTTAAAAGCATGCAATGATTTGCAGTCTTAAAACACTGGGCTGTCTTGGAGCTGAAAGCAGACAATATACCTTCATTTTTATTCATTTGTTGGATGTTGGTATTGCCCGCTAGGCCAGCATTAGTTGCTGCGATGTTGGTGGCAACAGGCTGCCTAATTTATCTGCTATAGACTTTAGAGCATACGGACACCTACAATGCTATTAGAGAGTTCAGGATTTTGTGTGGCAAAGATTGTAGGTTTGGAAGATGCTGTTGCAGAAACCTCGGGGGTTTGCTACAAATCGATCTTGTAAATGGTACATGCTGCTGATGTTGAAAGTGGTAGATTGGGTGCCAATCAAGCAAACTGATTTATCCTGGATAATGCTGAGCTTTGAATGATGTTGAAGCCGCACTCACCAGGTGATTGGAGTATTAAATCACATTGCTGACTTCTACCTTCTAGGTAGTAGACGGGCTTTGGGGAGTCAGAGATATCACAGGCTGCAGGATTTTTAGCCTCTGACCTGCATAAATATAACTGAAGATCAGCCTCAAGTAGAGGACAGGATTTTCAGCAGGTGGTGATATCACCAGATGCCATTGCATTGTCAAGAATTGAGGCATGAGCACTACATTGATTTTAATCTATTGACTGTAATATGTAAAATGCCCAGGTTTTTGTGCACTTCCTACAAGTCCATTGTATACATGTTTCCCCATTTTGTAATGAACACAAATAACTTCCTGGTTGAAGAAAGACTGTTAGATTTTGCAGTGTGAGGATTTTCTGTAACCATTTTACAGCAAATTAATACTTTTGAATTGAAATCATTTTAATATTAGAAATGCAGCAACTACAAGTAAGGTCCTGTAAACAGCATTGTGATAATGACCAGAATCCTTGTCTGTGATGCTGCTTGACACTAGGGAGAACTCTTGCATTCTGTTTTGAGACAGAGCCATAAAATATTTTAAATCCACCCGGGACAATTTCAACAACCTATCTGAAAGACAACAACTGTAATGTTGCATTCTCTCAGTGCTGCATTGTATTGTCAGAATAAAACTGTGTTCCAGTCTGAGTCTTCACTTGGAAGCAAGAGTGCAACACTAAAAGTGATGTTAAAAGTCAGACATTAAAATGGAAATGTTCCGTACCTGTTACGATCAGCTGTATATCCGCTTCAACAGGCCCATCAGGGAATAAGGTGAAAATACAGCTGTATGTCCCCTCATCACTTAGTGTAATATTTCTCAAATACATTGATGCATTTTTGGAACTTTGCCCAATGTAGGTCATTCTGCCATCAAATGTATAATCAAACTTTTCATTCTTTCCATTTATGAAAACTGCTGTGAAAAAGTTCTGTTGTTTTTGACCATGCCTGTGTCGCCACATGAATTGTGAGATAGTTTTCCCGGTATTAATTGTACACAGCAGCAGGGTATCTTCGCCTACGGATCTCAAAATCTGGTGACCGTTCACATTTATTGAACCTGGAAAAGAAACATTTATTTCATGAATAGTGACAAAACAATGGCAGGAAGAAGGAATTTTAACCCAGCATCTGGGTGCAAGATAGGATGAAAGGCAGTTAAAATATCTCCTTTCAGAGATAGTAGGAACTGCAGATGCTGGAGAATCTGAGATAACCAGGTGTAGAGCTGGATGAACACAGCAGGCCAAGCAGCATCAGAGGAGCAGGAAGGCTGACGTTTCGGGCCTAGACCCTTCTTCAGAAATGGGGGAAGGGGGTTCTGAAATAAATAGGGAGAGAGGGGGAGGCGGATAGAAGATGGACAGAGGAGAAGATAGGTGGAGAGCTCTCTGGGCTCGATCTGGAACACTTAAGCCTCACTTGCCCCTTCTTTCCCATGGAACTCTAAAACCCCGTTCCCAAAACATTTATTTTTCTTCCCAATATACTTCCACTTGGTACCAGCTGGTCCCTGCCGTCCGAACAAGAATTCACACCCACTCACAGACTAGCACTCTCCTCCTGTTTCTAGCGTCAGCTGATGAATGGCATCCAGATGAAGCTCGACAATTAAAACTGCAACCTGTTAATATCATGTACATCTGATGTGTGCCCTGTACCCCCATGTTCAGGCAATGTACTCGGTTAGAAAATATTGAGGAGAAGGTCATCACTGAACTAACCGCCCAGTTTATTACCCCAGCTTCTTGTGGCCAGAAATCCCTCTCTGGACTCCTATCCTTCTTCTTTTTGACTCCCATTCTCCACCTTCCATGCAGTAACACATATGGCAGAAAAAGCCAATACACTGATGCCTCATGGAGTATCTATGTCTAATAGTACAGTAAAGGCAAGAGGAAACAGCCATTGAAACAATGCAATGAGTGTGCAGTTCTTTAAAAAAAAACCTGACTATAATGTTGAGATATGATGGGGAGAATATTTCCAAATTTTTTTGTCCCAGAAGAAAGCCTTGCCAACAAATTGAACAGAAATTGTAAAAACTGACTTAACTCAGGGATCCATGCCCTTGTTTCCAGGGAGTGGAGTCAGAGGGAGGAGCACACAAAGTGACTGAAAAAGTGAGGACTTTTCAGGAAAGCTGTGACCTGATTGACTGAGAGGAAATCTGTCCTAAATTTGAAAAAAAAAACACTGCAAAACTAATTAATAAACTAATTAACTAACTAGGAATTAACTAACTAATAAATGAATTAATTAACTGTGGATTAACTAACTAATAAAGTAATTAACTAAGTAGAGACAGCTGGGCAGGTGATGTGCTGTAGCTGTATGATGTGGGAGCTGGCCTATCCCATTGTGAACTGCAGTGACCACATCTGCAGCAAATGTTGGTTGCTTGAGGAAATTTGGCTCAGAATTGATAAGCTGGAGTCTGAGCTTTGGACATTGTAGCACATCCAGGAGGGGGTGGCTTACCTAGATGCTTTGTTTCAGGAGGTATTCACACCTGGTACCTCAAATTTGTTCAGTGGCCAGGGACAGCAGGGTGTGATAAAAAATTTGAGGCAGGTAGAGGGATCCTGTACTCAGGAACAGAAGAGCCTCAGCTCTTGACCTTGTTCAACAGGTACTTGCTCCTTGTGTTGATGAGGAACAGGGTTGTTGAGAGGATGCGCCAGCTGACCATGGCACCATGGTACAGGAAGCCATTCAACCGTGGGTGGGGAGGAGAAAGACAAGTGGTAGTTGTAGGGAATTGTCTAATTAGGGGAATAGATAGCATCCTTTGTAAGCAGGATCAAGAGTCCCATCCGGTAGGTTAACTGCCCAGTCCCAACGTGAGGAAGAGGGAGGATCCAGTTGTTGTGGTCCACGTCAGGAGAAACAACATGAGCAAGGTGAGAAAAGAGGACCGAGTTGGGGATCATCAGGAACTAGGGACTAAATTAAAGAACAGGTCCTCAAGGGTTATAAACTCTGGATTACTAGCTGAGCCACCTGCAAATTGGCATAGGGACACGAGAATAAGGGAAGAAACACGTGGCTAAAGGAGTAGCGCGGGAAAGAGGGGCTCCTTTTCATGGGGCACTGGCATTAGTATTGGAACAGGAGGGATCTGTACCGCTGGGACAGTGTCCACCTGAACCGAGCAGGGACCAATGTTCTAATGAAAAAGGTAACCAGGCAGCCAACAGGACTTTAAACTAGAAAGTTGGGGTTGGGGTGGAGGGGGTGCTGGAAAGATAAAAAGCCAAGAAGCATCATGGTCAATGCGAAACAAAGCTGCAGTTTAACATCTGTGGGGGTGGATTCAACTGCATGGAAAAGTATGAAAGAAATAAAAAGAAAGGAGAACTTGGGAGAGGTTACTAAAGTCTCCAGAACACAAAATAGGACCGAGTGTTTGGAAAGGGTTAGGAATTTAACTTCAAGCATCAGATAAATATCAGACAAAGGGATGACAATGAGAAGAGAGATGGTAAATACAGGACTGAAGGTGTTGTATCTGAATGCACGCAGTATATGAAATCAGATAAATGAGCTTGTGGTGCAGATTGAAATTGGCAGGTATGACATGGTGGGCATCACAGAGACATGGCTGCAAGGGGATCAGGACTTGGACCCAAATATTTAAGGATATACATCCCATCGAAGAGACAGGCAGGTGGGCAGAGGGGGTGGAGCTGCCTTATTTGTAAGAAATGAAATGAAATTGATAGCAAGAAATGACATAGGGTCAGATGATGTAGAATGTGTGGGTAGCACTGAGGAACCACAAAGGCAAAAAAAAAGCATTAATAGGAGTTATGTAAAGGCCTTTAAACAGTAATCAGGATGTGGGGCACAAGATACCCCAGGAGATAGAAAGGTGTGTAAGAAAGGCAAGGCTACAGTGATCATGGGGAATTTCAAGACGCAGGTGGACTGGGAAAATCAGGTTGGTAGTGGATCGCAAGAAAAGTAATTTGTAGAATGTCTACGAAATGGCTTTTTGGAGCAGCTTGTGGTGGAGCCCACAAGGGAACAGGTAATACTGGACTTGGTGGTGTACAATGAGACAGACTTGATAATGGAGTTTAAGGTGAAGGAACCTTTAGGAGGTAGTGACCATAATATGATAGAATTTAATCTGCAATTTGAGAAGGAGAAGCTGGAATCAGATGCAACGGTATTACAGTTGAATAAAGGCAAATACAGAGACATGAGGGAGCAGCCTAGCAGGAAAGACAGTGGAACAGCAATGGCAGGAGTTTCTGGGAGTAATTTGGGAGAGACAGCAAAATTCATCCCTCGGAGAAAGAAGCATACTAAAGGGAGGACAAGGCAACCATGGCTGAAGTCAGGAAGTCAGGAACAGCTTAAAAGCAAAAGAGAAAGTATATAATGTGGCGAAGGGCAGGGCAAAGCCAGAAGATTGGGAAGTCTGCAAAGGGGCCAACAGAGGACATCTTGAAATGAAAAAGGGAGAAGATTAAATATGAGGGTAAGCTAGCCAGAAATATAAAAGATGATTGTATATCTAAAGAAATTCTTACAAAGGGCAAAAGAGAGGCAAAAGTGGACATTGGGCTGCTGGAAAATGACTCTGGAGAAGTAGTAACGGGGAACAAAGAAATGGCAGAGGAACCAAACAAGTACTTTGCATCAGACCACACAAAGGAGGTGCTAGAAAAATTGAAAGCTCTGAAGGTGGATGAATAACTTGGACCAGATGGACCACACCCCAGAGTTTTGAAGGAGATAGCTGCAGAGATCCTTCAGGAATCCCTGCAGTCAGGCAAAAGATGGGAAATCTTACAGGCCGATTAGCCTGACCTTGGTTGTTGGTAAAATTTTGGAATACATTGTGAAGGACAAGATTTCTGAATGCTTGAAAGTGTATGGTAAAATAGGGCATAACTTCATTGTGGGGGGCCGGGGTGGTGGGGGGTATACCTGACAAATCTGTTCGAATTCTTTGAGGAGGTAACAAGCAGGTTAGACAAAGGAGAGCCAATGGATGTTATCTACTTAGACCTCCAGAAGGCCTTTGACAAGGTGCCACACAGCAGGCTTTTGAGTAAGATAAGAGTATGTGGTGTTAGAAGCAAGGTACTAGCATGGATAGAAGACTGTGCTTTCTGGCAGACAGCCAGGGTGGGGATAAAAGGGTCCTTTGTGGGGTGGCAGCCAGAGACTAGAGGCGTTCTGCAAGGATCAGTTTTGGGACCACAACTTTTCATTTTATACATTAATGATCTAGATGGAAGAATTGAGGGCATTCTGGTTAAATTTGCAGATGATACACAGATAGGTGGAGAGACAAATAGTATTGAGGAGGCAGAGAGGCTGCAAGAAGGTTTAGACCGGTTAGGCAAGTGGGCAAAGAAGTGGCAGATGGAATATAATGTAGGAAAGTATGAGATCATGCATTTTGGTCGGAAGAATAGAGGCATAGACTATTTTCAAAATAGGGAGAAAATTCAGAAATCTGAAGTGCAAAGGGACTTGGGAGTCCTAGTCCAGGATTCTGTCAAGGTTAACCTGCAGGTTGAGTCAGTAGTCACGAAGGCAAAGACAATGCTGGCATTTATTTTGAGAAGACTACAAGATAAAAGCAGGGATGTACCTCTGAAGCTTTATAAGGCTCTGGTCAGACCACATTTAGAATATTGTGGGCAATTTTGGGCCCCATATCTCAGGAAGGATGTACTGGCTCTGAAGCAGGTCCATAGGAGGTTCATAAGATTAATCCCAAGAATAAAAGTCTTCACATATCAGGAATGTTTGAGGACTTGGTCTATATTTGATGGAGTTTAGAAGGCTTGGCGGGGGGTCTAATTGGAACTTGCAGAATACTGAAAGGCCGGAATAAGTGGACATTTGTAAGATATTTCCATTAGCAGGACAGACTAGGACCCGAGTGCACAGCCTTAGAGTAAACAGAAGACCCTTTAGAAAGGAGATGAGGAGAAACTTCTTCAGCCAGAGAGTGGTGAATCTATGGAATTCATTGCCACAGAAGCATGTGGAGGCCAGGTCATTGAGTATATTTAAGACAGAGATAGATAGGTT